CCCGCCCCAGAGGTGGCCGCGTCTCAGCGCCGGGCGAGGGGTCCCTGGGTAACCGGCCGCCCCGCCCCAGAGGTGGCCGCGTCTCAGCGCCGGGCGAGGGGTCCCTGGGTAACCGGCCGCCCCGCCCCAGAGGAGGCCGCGTCTCAGCTCAGTCTGCGTCTCCCCCCCAGCTGCGGGAGTGCGAGCTGAGCCCCGGCGTGAACCGCGACCTGACCCGCCGCGTCCGCAACATCAACGGCATCACGCAGCACAAGCAGATCGTCCGCAACGACATCAAGCTGGCGGCCAAACTCATCCACACCCTGGACGACCGCACCCAGCTGTGGGGGGCGGGGGAGCCCCGTGAGGCCCCCCAGGTCTCGGTCAGTATCCGGGGAGGGGGGGTCACGCCTCTGCCCCACGGCTTCCCACCAGCCTTCCCCCTCACACCGCGGCATCCCATGGAGACCCTGCAAAGGATTCTGGGGGCGTGATCTACGGCCATGGGGACTGTCTATCCCCCCCCTCGCCTTCCTGGATGGCCCCACAGGCTTCTGGGAGGCGGTTCAAGAGGGAGCTCCGCCCCATAGGCTTCTGGAAGGTGGATAAACAGGAAGCTCCACCCCATAGGTTTCTGGGAGGTGGCTAAACAGGGAGCTCTGCCCCACAGGCTTCTGGGAGGCGGATATAGAGGGAGCCGCACCCCATGAACTCCTGGGAGGTCCCCCCTTCGCTCACCTGTCCCGTGTCCCCCCGGCCCCCCAGAGCCTGCCCTCCCAGAACCCCATCCTGAAGAACATCACGGACTACCTGATCGAGGAGGTGAGCGCCGAGGAGGAGGAGCTGCTGGGCAAGACGGGGGAGGCGGCCGACGAGCCCCCCAAGGAGGGGAACCCGGCAGAGATCAACGTGGAGAGGGACGAGAAGCTCATCAAGGTGAGGGGGACGGGGAATGGGGCAGGGGCCTGTCCCCTCTAGGGGGCGCCGGCTCCCCCCCGTCCCCAGGGCAGGGACTGGCTGGCTCAGGGGGGTGGGAATGGG